TCTAAAAGGATAGAAGAACTACACTTTATAATTATACTTCCTTTTTTTTTATCATGAAGTTAAAAAAAATGCACGATTGCATACATTTTCGAAATTTGTTACAACACTAACATTAATATCAAGTCAGAGATCAAAGGTCAGCCAACATCAAAACTACTCAACTCTCATAGTGTTATATAAAAATTGCCATTAGAAGTTAAAAGTTAGCATTCATTGGATGGATATCTGACCTATCATTTCACTTTGGTAACACATTTATCAACAAAATAAAGAAATATACAAGTTCTTAAATTCTTTAATTAACAAGAATTATCTTGCGTATTTATTTATTGCATCAACCATTTACGTTCATTACATTTCAGCCAATTAATTTTACACACTTTTTAACAAATTTTATGCAAACGATTGTTTTTCAAAAGTGTAATTTATATTTCAAAATAATAACGTATATTTTGACGCAACTTACACTCATAACAATAATAAACAAATTTTTAAAAAGGAATTACTTACAAAATATCAATAAACAAAATTATGAAAACAATAAGTTTATAAGAAATATGGCCATTATATGAATTTAAATGAGAGATATACTAAGACTCTATTTTGAAATGTATTTTTCTGCAGAAAAAAAAATTTGAAAAAATAATTTTCACGCTTTTCATTTGTATATTATTAAAAGTATAATGCAGTTGCAATATATAAAAGTAACACATATGCATCATATATGTAAATGTACACATTAATGCGCTCTCATATGCAGACATAAATAAACAGCCAAACATATATGTAAGAACACGTACACATCCATCACTGGTCTAACGCATGTACACGTGTTCCATCACGAGATATATGCATGCACACGCAAACAAAACAGATATACACACATACATACATACATGTAAAATAATATAGCATTACACTGAAAGGCAATTAAAAATATACGAACAAGTTTTACGTTCATTCACGTCTTTGCAGTACACTACCTACTTTTCATCGTGACTTACTTCCCTCTATTTTATTGATGTCAATAGTAAAAATTATACATAATTAAATAATGAAATAATGTTTGGAAGTTTTCAAGGTTACTAATTATTTAATATTAGGTACTTTAATGCTCAAAACAACAAAAAAGTTCGAAAAAATTGTTGCTAAACTTTGACACTTAATTTTTATTCAAATACTAATTTAAAGCATGCGTTTTTTATAGTATGTAAAGCAAAAGTAAAATGGAACTGCAAATAGGAAATGAATACATAACCAATGTTCAAATAATAATAGGAAAAAATTTGCAAAGAATTGAGTTTTATGTGTTTATAAAAGTGTAAATGTCTTGAATGTAAAATGTTGAATAGGTCTAAATATTTTGAGCAATTTTTTCAATTCAATTCAATTCAATTCAATTCCTGTAAACAACTTCCCTTTTATATGTTACAAAAATTTGAAAGAGAAATATTTATTTATTTATTTGTTTATATACTCATAACGAAAAACAATCTGATTTTTACAGTGAATAAGACGGATCAATTTAAAAATAGGAAATGCTTGCATAAATTATTTATATTGCGTATTTTTATGCAATCAAAAACCAAATCACGACTGGATTATAAAACTTTTCTGCAAATAAGTACTTTGAGTCGAATATTTTTCAACTTTGCTTACAAAATTTTAAACTATGTTTTTCAAACACCAAACTCAAATAAGCTCCAATCTAATCGGTTTCTGCAACGGAAAAAATAACTTGAAAATTTGAAACTAGATGTTTGATTAAATTGAAGTAAACGCCTAGAAAAATAAAAAATGTTTGAGGATTTTGATTAAAGCCAGTTGCATAATAATTTTATGAGGTCAGAGATAATTTTCACACAAATAAAAATAAAAATAAATATAAAAAAATGATGTTTGCTTCACAGAGTTAAACTAATTAATTTCAATGCTTCACATAGTTAAATACAAATAGAAAACAATTGAGTACGTTCTTATACAAAAATTAATACATGAATCTGAATGACAAGAAATTCTAGAAAAACTAATGGCAAGAATTGCTAATAATTTTAGTCTATATTTCGACAAAATATTCTTTATTCAGAAGCAAAATAACGATTCTTGCCTAAATAAAGATAAAAATTTCCTACTTTCATTAGAAAATTTACAAAATACTAACCTCCTTAAATCTAATTAATCACAAACATAAATTCTTCAAATACTAAAGTTTTGAAGAATAACATACTATAGTTTTGTATTTTCTACATTAACATAAATCAAACCTTCTAAGCAAAGCTTCAGAAACAATGCAACGAATGATCTCAACTGAGAAGGAAACTGAAGAAAAAAACAATAAAAATAAACAAATAAATGCAATACTACACTTTTTAAAGTGATAAAAAAACTCACGAATGCTTTATTCATTTAACAAGAAACATTGGTAGGGTACATTCATTGTTGAATTCTAATTCATTGTTGACGAATGCTTCGCAACTTCCTGAATAAATTGAAATATTGCATTTAGCACTATTGCCATCTAAAATTTTTTGAATTTAACTTGTTCTAAAATGACAATGAATTGCTTATTCAACATAACAAAATTGCAGAATAATCAAATCCATGCATATTCCATTTGATAACAAAATGCTACCAAACCTTATACATTATAAATAAATTAAATGATCAATGCTCAAGATCAGACAACAATTAACATACCAAAAATTAAAATATGTCGGAAAAAGATGAAAATTTCTCGCAACCAACAGCTTACTACAAAATGTTTTGAAATAAACGCTAAAAATCATTTTTCAAAATTTCACATTAAACTTCATTATACATAAGACGCCACAAATTTATTAGCCGTATCAATCACAGCCACAAGAATAATACTTGAGAGTTTATTCCATAACTATTATAGTTCAGAAACCTTTGCAGTCATAAAATAAATCAATTTTTGTTTAATTCTTAACTTACTTTTTAAAACAAATAAAGAAAATCTAGTCAAACTTTTCGGATCAACAAGATATGACTATAAATATATTTTCTACCTAGCTCAATCTATATATGAAGATCAAATTAGAAGCGAAGTAAAAGAGAGAATTATACAACCCCCAGTTCTTTGTTTGAAAACTTAAATAAAAAGTATTTTTTTTAAAATAACAAAGCCACTAACATTCTCATAATTAAAACGAAAGTTACTTCAGTGCAGATAAGTCCAAACCTTTACACAATTCTTTTTTTTCGATTGAAAATGCTATGCTGATAAATTCTAAAATCTATTTCCAACATCGAAATCAAAAATGATAAGAAATAGTTCAGAATGAGCTGATAAAGTTATCTGACATACTTCAATTCAACACCATTCCTTTAGCTTCCCAGTACTTTTTCACTGGAACATCTCAAACCAATGATTGCTCCTCACACGTAAACTAGGTGCTAAAAGTGGAATTAGTGTAAATCTATGGTCATTCCTCTGAAACAAACGAAACTTAAATAATAAAAATCAGAAGGAAAATAAATACAGTAAGTAAAAACATGCTGAACTCCAAAGGGAAATCCCTCTCAACTGGTGTCCATAATATGTATGATTTCATCTTTTTATCCTTTACGTTTTTCAAGTCATGAAAACCTTCCTCACCGAAAATTCAGAGATAGATATGAATGAAGTCCTGCTTTCTCACGTTCATACATTACGCACTCATTCACTCACATAAAAAAAAAATCCCAGATTATAGTACTAAACTTCCTATGTATAAGAACTGACACCAATGAAATCGAAGTGCAGCATTTACTATTCTAAAAAAAATCAAATTACAACAAAACAAAACTATTAGGAACAGTCACAAAACAAAGGAAATAGCTGACTGAAAATCACATAACAGCAAACATTTGATAAGACAATAACCCACATAATAAATATAACTGATTATTAAGTAACCTTTTCACAATGAAAGCATCATAATACTTGTAAAGGAACCATTCAAAATACATTTACGCAATTTTATAGGAATAAAAAAGAAATTCCAAATAATTTCCCTCATTACAAAAAAAAACCTGTTCCCCATAAATTCACTCTAAACGATGCATTTTTATATTTTCCGAAACTGAATCCATAAAAATTTAATTAAAAAAATTGCACTACTGGAAAGAAAAACAAAATAACAAGAATTTACAGAAGAAAGGAGCCGAATATTGTATAAATCTTCTAGCTGACCACAACTAAAAAATAAGATTAATGGACGAGCACGTCACCTAAAAAATTAATAATATAAAGTTTCAAAGTAATAGACCTATTAAATATTGCAGAATAAAAGAATTATTTTTCCAGTACGATTCAATCAGAATCACCACTACAGCTCTCTTCAGACAAATACAATTCGTTTTTGACTGAATTATTAATTCCATTTTTAGTTAACTTCTGAATTTTCTTCGAATTTTTCCTTGAAACTGTCACTGACTTATCTTTAATCTTCGTCTGCTTTGAAATATGATTACTCGGTCGTTTCTTCAAGCAATTTCTTTTCATCCCTGTCTTCTGAAAATACTCTATGAAATAAACGCTTAATTTAAAGAAAAAGAGTAGATACTGAAACTAAAAAGTCTACATGTACTCTTAGTAAGAACTATTGAAAATTTTTTCAATTAATACACAATAATACTTGTTTTAAGTATACCATATGTGGAAAATGCAGAAATAAATCTTATTCGCAATGACTTTTGAGCAAACGGAAACTAAACTACTACCTCTTCAAAAACTTGTCTGTCCGAATCTTTCGACATTAATTGGTCTCGAGAATCTGAAACAGAAATAGTTTTATACATAAAGTATAATTCACCTACAAAACCATAATATTCATCGCGATTAGAAAACAAAATCATTTTATTTTTAGCAACGAGTTATCAGAAAATTGTTTTATCAAGAAATGTTATTTAAAGACGATACAGTATAATAAACTGAAATTCCGAATTCTTTGAAACAAAAACATGAAGAGAAATACATATATTTAGATTGAACTTAGCTAACTTTTGATAATGGCTAATCGTTCTAATGCTGTTCTTACTCGCAACGTTAAAGCCAATCGTTGATCAGCTTCAGACTTTTGTAGTTGATGAGTAAATGATGTCATATGCATTTGATAAGATTGTCCGCTTCCACCAGCATCTGGATTTAAGTACTCATTCCATTTTGTCAACGACTGGTTCGTTTGCTAAATTTACATAAAAAGAATGATTTTAAATAAATTAAAATATTTGCTGCACAGCAAAAAGATAGGCCTTACGATGGAAAAGCAATTTACGATGACTGCATAGAGAACAATAATTCATATATTTCTATAGGTGTTTTGTATTTGAATTCAATTTTAAACACAAAATAATCAAGGAGTTCAACATTGCGTTAAAACAGTTGCGTTTTAAGTTAGTCGAAGAAATGCGATATAATACAGGTAATACTTTTTCTAGCACAGCTTTATCCCATCCCAGCTTCTCCCATACAAACAACTGCAACTTCTCCATATCAATTCTTCGCCACTTTGGTTTCTCAGTAGAACTATCAACTAATGGCCTTGCATATGCGTTAAATATTTCGTGAGAAGGAAACTAAATATTGATAAATTCATTCAACAAAAATTTATTGACAATACAAAGGCAACAGCTCAGTAATTTCAATTCCATTACTATTAATCCGTCAATTTTCTAGTTCATGTAAAATTTAATATACACCAAAACAATTCAAGTTTCCTGCAATCAAATTATAAGTCTAAAAATATCACAGACTTTGAAAGTTTCCAATAAATAGAATTTTCTTCTGAGCCTACATCATAATCAAAAATAAATGAATTTCAAAAGATATTGAAAAAAGTGAGAGGAGAGTGAGCGCATGCCAAAACAAAAAATATCACAACAAAAATATACCGCTTTTATAGTCTCCAGATCGTTATTTTTCTCTATTAATCGTTTTAGTTTCCACCTTCGCTTATTCTCTACGAACGTCTCTTCGATAGTATCACCAAAAAATTTGCCACCACTGGACGACTGCATACTGTTGACAATTTTAGAATTCAACCACCTTGATATGCGTTCCAAGTTATAAAATGCCTGAAACCATCTGCAAATTTTAATTCATGAAAGTATTACATCAATCCAAATTTTGCAGAATCCGAAGTAAGTCAATTTTAGTAGAGCCAGATAATATAGAACAAAAATGAAAGCAAAATATCTGAATCACAAAAAACCTCTTGCCACGGTTCAGCATCATGAGAAACAGTTGCAAATTCTGACACGAGTTCTAGTGCTGAAACAACACCAACTCCTTCCAAACCATTCGTGTAATCACTACCGGATAACAAAGCCACTTGTATTGCTTCCCATCTTGACAGACCTTAAAAACTTAATTCATACAAATTTGAAAGATAAGATTGAAGACAGTTAAAACTTTTGAGAAAGTGTAAAGGCATCGCATAACTTATGACCATTAAAAAAAGAAAAAAGAATAAATTAGCAAAGATATTCATTATTTGTTTCCTAAAGTATGAGGTTGAACGAGTTTTACCATTGAACGTGACTGGTGAACAAGAATAATTGATTAATTAAATCAAACCTAAATCCTTTTGAATCGTTTTAATGGAATACATTTGCAGTTGTCGCTTTTGATTAAACATATTTTTGTAAACTACAGAGGCTCCAAATAACCAAACATCTGAGTCGTCGCTTATTATACCCTACAAAATGTAGAAGAGTAGCCGTTTCCAGGACGACAATTACTTGTTACCGAGTTTTTGAGAATAAATGAAAAATAGAGACGTAGAGATGACTACTATAAATATTTAATGTCAGTGAATTGATAATAAAACATTATTTAGAATGAAAATCATTTATCAAAGTTTCTACCTCCAAACTGAAGACTGATGTTATTCTAGAACAACTCAGTTTTATAATTGTAACAACAGAAGGATGAAAATGCAAATATAAAAAAATGACAAAAACACTTCATGTATGTTCATGTATGTACAAAACATACCTGAACAAGACCTAGTCTCTCAAGTTCACAACATTGTGCTTCAGCTTCACCGGGAGCAACAATGAAAGGAATTCCGCAGAAACGTAACAAATCCGGAAATGAAATGCATGTCAAATATGTAATGCATAATATCTAGTAGGCAAAACACTACTTGCATGACTAGCAAACCTGGCACTCTTTGTAAATTCCGTCATCTCTGCCTGGAACAAAATTGTCACTATCGATTGTAGCATTCAGAGACGCTGATGATTCTTCGAATATTTTTTTCTTCTTTGTATCGTAGACCTTTTCCTCCAAATTTTGAAAGAACAGTTAAGAGTACAGTAATGATGACTAATTTGCAGTTGTAACAGAAATATTTTAGAGCAAACTTTTCGGTTTTCCCTGACATTAAACGAAAGCAAATCGAAATGAAAGTAGACTTTTTGACCAAAAACTACCAATAAAATCTTCACCAACTCATTTACTGATTTCTTTTCCTGAAATTGACCTGGCTTGTACACATGTGTACCTTTGAAATACGACCTATTATCAGTACTCATAGAAGAATCCTTCGGTATTTCACTTGGCACTTCGATAAATTCATCGCTGCTTTCACTTGATGACGACCACGTATCACATTGTAAATCTTAAAACTGTGCAATACAAAGTGAAATTTATAGTGCTTTTACATAGCATAATCCAGACAGACATTTAATCAAAAATATAATTTAATTTGAGCGAGGAATGTAGAAAAAATAGTTTAAACAAGCGGAAAAAAAAAGACCTCTAGCCCTACTAGCAAATACTGCTCGTAACCGCTCTATCATATCTCCTTTCGATTCGCAACCATAGCCATCGAAAAATAGTTGCTTTTCATATTTATTTTCCAGCAACGAAGCATAGATAGCCTAAATTTTCAACTTTATATAGATGATTTATAAGAAAGTTTGATGTCAGTGAATAAAAACATTTTTTTTACCTCTTGCAAAGCATCGTCATCGTCATCGCTATCGCTCTTATAAACATTGCCAATCATGCAGTGATCAGAATCATCCTGGAAATAAAATTAATGAGTGGAATTGGAATTGATATCTTTTGATGACTTTTTTACAATAAACCAAATGTCCCAAATTTAAAAATATTTAATAAAAATTATCACCTTATTTTATCGAACACAAACGCTAATAATATTATAGATATTATTTCA